TGTCAGTTACCAATGGGAAAAGTGTCACTTCTCATGGTCAAGCCTTACATATAGAACAAAATATGCAACATTCTCAACTTGATCGTGGATCATGAGCTTCCAGGTAGTATGCCCCAAGCTGGTTATGAACTTGCTGTTGGCTCAATTGTGGGAGATCATTCGCCTTTTTAAGGTAGGGGCCGGGCCATATGGTATATTATAAGAGATTGTTCTCGAGTGGTCTCGTTTCATTTGAATATGTTTCTTTGTATTTCTCGTGGCCTGGCTGGGCCTTGTCGTGCATCATGCAGCCAGCCTGTAGACACAAACTTCACAAACGCCAAAGGTGAAAAAGAACAACGTCGCCTCACCTGGTCCTTGCTATGCCATCATCACTCCACTCCAAGAAGGGACTCCAACCTCTCACAAACCTCTGGAAGTTCTCCTTTTTCGGGGCACCCAGTTCAGCGTTGTCCATCCAACCGACCCAGACGGGACCCAGACGGGAGACACCCGCCGCAAAAAGGCTGCATTGCGCGTGGCAGATCGAACACCCAAGTCTTTGGGATAAATACGCTGCGGAGCGGAATGATGCTCGGCCGCCCCTAGGGGACCAACCGGTGGGTGGGGTGACCAAAAGAGGAAACCGTCACAGTTGAGTGGGGACATCATTGACAGCATTGACATCCATGAAGTTTATCGGTAACTGGATGGTTGGGCATAGAGGTGTATCCGCATGGTGGGTGTCAATGAGGAGTGATGTTTTTTGTTGCTGCATGGAACTCTTGAGCAACAGAAGGACTCACGATGACTCGTGGTGTGAAAGCCTTCGACGACTTTCCACGTGCCACACCGTGCCGTGCCTTTCCACGTGCCTTTCGCCTCTCTTGGCGCCTGAGGATGTTCTGCGCAACATGAAGAAGCTGGAGCGCAACTCCATCGAGACGCCCAGCTGGAAGAGCAAGTTAGATGAGAACTCCACTGCTCTGCCCGACGAGCTTTGTGCGGCGATCGGTGGCTCGACCATCGCACCAGGGCAGGGCCGCTGTGGCCTGTGATGGCCCTTGAAAGTCCATCTATGGGAATCGCATGCCTTACATGTTCAAGGGTTGGTACCTGTCACATGGATGTACATGTGACATGAAAGGACTATGAAAGCAGGGTATGTACACAGCAGGGTCCCCAGGTAGGGGTGGACCTGGGCGGGCTTGGAACCACAACACATGGGACTGCCATATGGGCCGATCAGGCCAGGGGGTGGTGGTGGTGGTGACTGGGGAGTGAATGGGGCGGCCAGTCCTATGGCCAGTCCCATGGAGTGTTTGGGTGTACTAAATGGATGGATGCATCCACAAAGGAACTCCTTATGGAAGGTCATTGGGCGGACACTCTTTTTTTTCTCTATACTTGGAGGGTCCCAATGGTATTTGGATGTATACCTAGTTCTTGTATAGATATGGCTTGATGGCTTGATCAGGCTTGATCAGTATTGAACCCAGGTCCAATTGGTAGAAACATGCAGAAACGGTTTCCAAAAACAATTATTAGTGGGGATCGGCTTGTTTATCAACTTAGGGGTCTACATCAAGATGCCCGCAGGTTTGGAAGATGATGTCAGTCACCCAAAGCCGAGACCGGCTAGTCACAAAAGGCACTCTTCGGCGCTCCGTCCCAGGTGAAAAGCACTTGTTGCACGGAACGTCCCCGGAGCACCTGCTGGACATCCTCGACCAGGGCTTTAACGACAAGCTGGCGAGCTTGAAAGGAATGTCGCTTGGAGAGACGTAGGTCGAAGGGGATGTGGCTGGTCTTAAGTGCCTATATCAGGTATACGGCATTTTGTGCGAGATATGTCTATGTTGTAGTTATGATGAATGCATGGCATGTTTACCTGGCCTGGAATCGTTTCAGTGCATGACCGAAATCAAAGACGTTCAATCATTGCAAGTGCTCAACATCGGATGCTGCCGCAGGTCGGCACCCGACTCCGGTTTTCTGTTGGTATTCCGCCACCACCCATGATCTGCCTTTCCACCTTGTCAGACCTTGTCAAAGGGTCTTTGGCACTTGGCGCCAGGTGCGATGATCCTTGTTTGATATATACTTGTCCAACGTCTTAAGTATTGTACAGGAGTCTAACAGGAGCTCTTAAGAACTGACCTAATTAAACAATTAAACTGCACACATGCTTATTACAGGATTCACTCTTCCATCATGTTTCTCTTCTCCGGACCTCCAGGAGTGCAGTGACCGGACACTCATCCACCCGGTCGCGCCCGGTCGCGCGGTCAGCGTTCGCCCGTCCTCGTCCGAGGTTCGGAGCGGGCGCCTACTTCGCCGAGGATCCGGCGCCTCGGACAGAGCCAAAGCCGACGGCGAAAGAGTCGGAAGAGAGAGAAAGACCCGTTGATTTGGACCGTTGATTTGGTCTTTGTACTTTGGGGGAGAATCCAAGGTCGAAGCATGGCTAATGAGTTGTGCAACAGAAGAGTCTTATTATAAAAGTTTAGAAGTCATACTTGCATGCTGCATATGCTCAATGAATTGCATTTGGCCTGATTGGGAGTCCGGACTGCCAGTCCCAGACAGGTCGTGTTCGTGGGCCTAATTTGCTCTCATGTGTGGGCCTGTTCACACTTGCAGTGCTTGTGGAAACCCTCAATTGCGTTTCAAGAAGAACCACCTGGGGCCTGGGGCACCCCTAGAATGAGCACCGATACTGGAATGCCTTGCCATTGGATTTGACGATCAAGTGACATGAAACAAACAACGTGGATGAAACAGGTCTGCATGAATGGGATGATGGCTGTGTTGTGTCATTTGTGGCGTGGATGGGATCATGGCTGTGCCGCATGGGAGAAGGAGTTTGGGTCAGGAGATGCTCAGAACTTGAGCTGAGCCGTGTTCACATGCGATCTCTCAATGACCCTGGCAATGCAAGTGCTTCTTGCGTGTGAGTCTTTTCTCCTTTGATGCGGTGGAGCCCTTGTTTTCCAGACAGAGGGGGAACCTAAGTAACTGGCGGATTGCAGGCAGCCAAGGAGCCAGAATCCCAG